CACTTCATCTTTGCAACTCGCAAAAAACAGTACTACTAAAGAAAATACGATGATTGTGGTTAATGCTTTTTTCATAGTTTGATTTCCTAGCGTACCTACAAAAGTACAATACCTGACCAATAGTAGCCATGGGCTTAGACCAAATGCCCAATAAATAGGGCCTCAGGTAGCTTTATAAAATGAGAAAAGCCCTGCCACGCCATGCGCCAGGGCTTAGTATTGTAGTCCGGAAAAGTATTAATCTTCTACCGGCTCGGGTAAATCTTCGGGGCTTTGATTGCCGCCCTGCGCGGGATCGGCTCCACCAAAATCGGGTAAGTTTTGCGGCTGTTGTACCGGTGATTCCGGCAGATCAGCTTGCTCAATTTTTGAGTTTTCCAATCCTTCCTCGTTTACATCGGGGGTTAAACTCACGTTGGCCGCCAAAACCAAAACTACCAGGAAAATGGCCAGGGCCCAGGTTCCGCGGTCAAGAAAATCAGTGGTTTTTTTCACCCCACCAAAAATTTGTGTGCCGCCTCCACCAAATGAAGAAGACAGGCCGCCTCCCTTGGGGTTTTGAACCAACACAATAAGTATCAATAAGATACAAGTAATAATAATAAGAGTTGAAAAAATAAGTGGCATAGGGCTTATTTACTGTTTTCTAGCTTTTTAATCTCCGAAATTCGGTCGGCAAATAAACTACTTTTTTCGGGATATTTCAACCTAAGTATTTCATAAGCCTGAATTGCTTTTTTATAATGCTTTTGTTTGATGTACACCTTGGCCAGGGTTTCGGTTACCAGGGAGCTGCCGTTGTCTTCTTCGGCTTCCTTTTCGCCTTGCACCTCTTCGTAATTCGCCTTGGGCGGTGGGTTGGAAATTAAGGGTTTGCGCTTCTTTAAATCGGGAAGTTTTTCCACAAAAGAATCCAGCAGTTGCATTTTGTCTTCAAACTTCAGAGAAGCTTTTTCCTCTTGCTCGCTGTCGTCAGCGGCCCGGGTTTCTTCGGTTTGTTTTTCTATTTGCTCTTCCTTCTTCTCAAACTGCTTCAGCCAGCGGCTAAACGACATTTGCTGCGCTTCTTCATTTGAAATAGGATCAAAGGCATCGTCATCTACCTCGAACAAATCTTCCGGCTTCTGTTCCTCCGGTACATCCTCCATCGCTTTCCTTTCAAAACTGGCATCGTGCAGGTGTTCAGAGCGCGATTGTATGTCGCGGAATTCCTGATCCAGATCGTCTGCCAGCCCGCTTTCGCTTTCCTCCGGCTCCAGCGGCTGCTCTTGTTCTTTCTCCGCGCCCAGTTTCTCCAGTCGGCTGCGGATGCCGGCTATGCGCTCTTCCAGGCTGCTCAAGCCTTCGGCCCTCACTTGCGGACGTTNNCTTCTTCCGCAAAATCGTTGGTGGTGTTCTCCACCGGTTGGCGCTGGTGTTCGTCCTGCTGCACCTCTTCCTCCAGGGTAGATTCCGGCTCCTGATCGGCTTCCCTGCTCAAAGATTCACCCTTGTCTTCGTAGCCTTCTTGGCGTTGGTAAGGCAGGTCTTCCTCCACAAAATCGTTGGTCGTTTGGCTGGCCTCCTGGCGTTGGGGTTCATCCACCAGGCTCTGCCCTTCCAGAGTTTCATCCTCATCTTTGGCTTTGGGCGCTTCGGCCGAATGTATTTCGGGCTGACTTTCTGCCTGTGGCTGCTCGGGCGGGCTTTCCTTGCTACTTTCCGGCTGTTGGCTCAGATGGTCTTCGGCTTCGGCCGAAGCTTCCTCCCTGGGCGTGGGATCTGCTTGTTTTTCCGCTGGGACCGCCTCCTCTTTGGGAGGCAAGGGACGACCTTCTTTCCGGGCCAGGGCTTCTTCGCGTATTCTCCGGTTTTTCTCCAGTATTTCGCGAATGCGCTCGCTCATGGCCGATTTTGGACTGGGCTTTTCCGCGGCTTCGGGCTTAGTCGCCTCTTCTGCTTTTGGCGGGGTTTCAGCCGCAGGCTGTTCTTCCACGGCTTCGGCTGCCGTGGCAGCATCTTCTTCTACCGCTTCTTTTTCTACGGCCTGGGGCGCTGGGCCTTGCTCAGGAATTTCTTGTGGCTCGGCTTTGGCCGGCTCTTGCGCTTCGGGGGCCTTTTGGTTTTCCTCACGCTCGGCCTCAAGTGCGGGTTGCGATTCGTCAGAACGCGGTGCCTGGGGCGCTGGGGCGGGCGCCTCGGTTTTTTCCGCCTCGGGTTCCGCGGAAGCGCCAGGCTGCTCCGGTGCCGCAGCTTGCGGTTCTTCCGTGTTGTACTCAGACAAATTTACTTGCTCGGAAGGCGTGGGAACCGGGGTGGTTTCTTCAAAAAGCTCAAAGAGCACCTTGCGGTTATTGGTTAAAATTGAGGTTTTGCCCAGCTGCCGGTCGAACAAATGCTGGCTGGAATATTTCAAACGCATGGCGTACAGCAGCTGCAAGGGCTGGCTGTATGAAAATCTATGCGACAAGTCCCGCAACTCATCCAAACTGTAATTTGCGATGGTTTCGGGCTTTCTAAGTAGCTCAATGAAATCTTCCGTGCTCAAGGTTTACCAGTTTCCTACCGCCTGATTAAGAATGTTTTCTGAAAGTTCTTGCGACAACTTATCGTGCAATTCGTCCTGCACCTGCGATATATCCTGGTCGGAAGGAAAATCGTCATAGCGCGTAAACATCTTCTCAAAGCTTTTTTCGGGCTCTAATTTATTAGTAAATATAACA